TTTTCCTTCCACTATTATTCTGTCTTATCTAACTGAATGTTATGGTGAGGACAATGTATAGATGTACATAAGAGAGAGACCAACTGTAATTACAATTTACTGTTAACATCAAGATTTTTCTTCACAGTAACAGAAGGGAAAGAAACACAAGACTGGATAAAAATTATATTGCAAAGGTAGAAGAGAATAGAGGAAAAACTACTTCATCTAGCCTTATATTTTCCTTCTAACATCAAATTCACCTGCTATGCTGTTGAGTATCCTGATACGGTTTGGCATTTAGAATACCTAAGGAAATCCAGGGCTGAATAATAGTGTGATGCACTGCGGGATCTCATTTCTGTCACTCCTTCACTTCAACTCCACTCTCCCTTTTGCAGTTTCTAGTCACATACTTCCTTTCAAATTGACCTTGAATTTGACAGTCAACTCCAACGCTACACTAGATTTACAAATATGATTAGGGTAAGAGAACAGGATACATCAGAGAGACCTTCCCCAGCCAGATCCAATTAATCACGCTACAGAACACATATCCATGAACATAATTTCCAGTTTTGTGACATTCAATAAATTAATCAACCCAAACCCGTATGTATAGAGAAAAGAAGACAGCTCCCTCTACTGGGTGAGACAATGCAGCTCCTCCTCTCCTTCCCCCCAAACTCTGCAGAACAGACTTGTGCATATTTAATTCTCCAAGATTTTTTTTTTTTTAAATCCAATCCACAAGATGGTATCGAGTTGTTTTGGCTGCTCTGCAATATCAGGAATTGGCCTACAGAAACCAAATTTCCGTAGTTTCTACACTGAAAAACACAGAGAAGAAAATTCTTCCCACAGGCCCGTGTAATAGCCTGATGAAGTAACGTTCTATCTCTAGGTGAAACACTTGAAAACCTGTATGTCAGTGTTCACTGTCAGCCCAGGTCTGGGAATAGATGGATTTCAGCAGTGTTATTTCACTGTATACATTTAAGAGCTGGCTCTTCTTACTGCTATTCAGTTGAACTTTCTTGTACATCCCTGCCTCAAGACATAGTCCTTACCTTGTTTAAGGGAATGGCTGCAGCTTTCCACCTACATGAGGCTTCATCACAACGGCAGCTGCGTGCAATTGCTCACATGCAGAACAGAAAGTGATGAAAAATCAGAGCACAGGTAGACAGCAGACAATGGCACAAGTGAAAGGCAATGATCTATATTTCAAGTGCTTATATTAGGATCTTCTAGGAAAACTACAACCTTTTTCCTTTCTCAGTCATCCCATCTGAAACACAAGGCTAGAAGTAACACATTTCATTCATATAGCATTACTGTTTTTCTTTCTGTAGATCTCGAAACACTCACAAAAGTGGGTAAGCACTGTCTGCTCAGCGTAACAACCCAGCCTTCACCAATTCCTGTCAAAGGCACTACCAGGTCAATAGGCAAACTGCAAATCTGAGACCTCTTGAATCAAAAAGTTCTTCTTAGGTTTGCTAAAAATTTCCACAGCAAACTTTAGCAAAATAGAAGCACCCAGTGTCCAGGCTGTTTGCCTCTAAAAGCAGAAGTTACTGATACTGCTTCTTTGGAGGCAACAATAAAAACTGCCACTGAGGAGAAAATGCAATATCTGAACATCTGTTCAAGCTCTTCGTTTAGAGCATAGGGGACTAAAACTCATGACCTGGGCACACCGTGGTTAGAGCTGGCAGGCACTCACTGGTCAACCAAGTGACTCCTCCAACACAACATGTTTCTTTTCTTCTCACTTTTCAAAAGATCACTTTACGAGTTGAAGCAGCAGCAAAACTCTAAGTTTTTTTGTCACCTTGACTTTCACCATCTGACAGTTTGTTTAACATTGCACAATTCCTGTCCTTGAACTTCCTACGAGTACCAGACAACCTTTGTTCAACCTTTGACAGCATAGTAAGTTTTTGGATCTTTTTTGGGTTGAGATGTTTAATGGCAGAAAAAGGTATGGAGAAAAATCATACAATAGTTTTAAAAACAGAGATATCACACTCTCAAAGTAACATTTATACCATTTTAAATCTACATTTAAAATTACCTTAGTGACAAACTTGCCACTCTGTTCAAAAATATTTTTCCAAATAAATTTGATGAACAGCAACCAAAGCACGTCTATACCTATGTGCCCTGAAAACATATCCTTGTTACTATCACTTATTTTCTTTCAGCAGACACATTTCCACCTTCCAAAAACATCAATAATCACATCTTTGGATGAAAAATAACCACCTCAGTTTATTTCAAAATTATTCACAAATGGAGTAGAGCACAGAGCTGAAAAAGCCCTACTTTCATTCTACAACAATGGCTCAGAGTTTGCATTTGAGTTTTAACTAGGGAAGAGGAAAGTGAAGCAGAAGTAAACACAAGACATCTAAATCATACCCAGCTCTGACTGACAAGGACAAAAAGACAAGCAGCAGATAGTGAAACATGTTGTCTTCTAATGACAGGTCGCAGCTTGCTCTAGTCTAGCGCAGAGAATGCCTTCCATGCTCTGCTTGCTCCATGGACTTATAAACTTTGGCCCCACAGGCCTTTTAACTCAGAAAATGTTATCAACATGGTTGCAGTCCAGGAGCAGCTCAGGTAAACCGTGACTGAAATTCATGTGGCTTTCAGCTACTCTTCAGCAGTTGTACTGTCATGAGTTTCAATGCATGGGAGAGGTTTATGTATAGCCCTGATATGAGCTTAAAGACATGCTTGGAAAATGATGGCTATTCACTATCTAGTAAACCTTGCTCCTCTACACGCTTTGTCTTCATAAGCTCCCTTCTGTGAGAGACCCAAAGGTGTCTCAGTTCTTTTCTAATACGGAATTCCAAAGGAGCAGGAAACATACACAGACAACACAATCCACTGCAATATAAAGCAGCCATTCTCACTGAAAAAAACAAACAAAATTGCCCACTTATTTTCCTGGAACAGAAACAAGCAGCTATCTCATGGTTTGGAGACAGTATGAGCCCTTCTTAAACAGTAACTGGAGAGCCCTATCCAAACTGGTTTTCATGTAAGAGCTCTTGAGAAACAACAGTATCATCATGCACTACCTAGACGAAGCTATCATTGACTTAAAAGTTATATAAGGAGAAACAGAATATACATAAATTCTAAACAGGTATGTTCTTATTGAAAATAAGTGAAGGTAAACTGGCTGTCTTGTTATTTGCATTAGCACTGACAGAAACCAACTGCTGGGGATTACTGAGAAAACAGCACTCAACCTTTCTTTCCATCAGCAAAACTGCAAAACACTCTGTGTGCCAGTGAATGATTTTGCACTGTGAAGGCAGCCAGTGCCTGTACTGCAGAAAAACCCTTGGTTGACCTCATCAGTTCCTGGAGCACAGGCCTTGCTGTCAAAGCTGAATCCCAGCATTATTGTCTTCCGCATCTCCTCGACAGCCAGTTCTTTGCTCTTGGAACTTGCTGCCCACACAGGCTGGGAGTATTCACCTGCAAAGTGTTACAGGTCCCCTTGGGATGACTGTCTCGCACTCCCAACTATGTTTGTTCTCTGCACAGGTTCACTGCTCTCTCCTTAATGAAGCAAACTGCAAAAGTGCTGTTGCCCTTCAGCCCAACACCCACAACTGTAGCTGCCACAGATGATCATTACTGTAGAGAGCATGTGCAGTTTCTGTACTCGGTGGTGAGCACAGAAAATCTGTGCTGGCACTGCTGGTTTTGGTGCTCTGTGAGGGAACAACTTCTCCTTGGAGAGCTGCACTGAATTACAGCAACGATCGTTATTTGACTTAGTGGATTCTGCTTCTCTAGTACTAAATATCATTTTCACAGTTGTTCATGTAAAAGGAGCTTCACAGCTCTTTATCTTTGGAGGTAGGAAAGAGGGAAAATGACAGGCTGAACGTTTGTTGGGTGTTTGCCCTTCTCCAAAGCAGATTAGACATCTGATGTAACCCTAGATTAAAAGCTTCAAGACCACTAAAGAATGAGTTTTTACAGTTTCTCACTATAACTGACACAAAGCACCACACTCCAATGTTTCTGAGAGCTCTCCTGACTTTTGGTCTTTTATTTTTCTGGAAAAAGCAAGATCAGGACAAATATTTCAAAGGAAAGAATTAAAAAGTAAAGAAACTAATTCAGAAGGTGGAAGCCAAACACCCAAACCCTGCTCCCTGCCTTCCCCCCAAAATAATCCTAGTTTACACTAGCAAAATAGGATCTTATCAGGGGCAGGTGTTTTTCCCTTTATTCCCTGGCACAGAAGACACAAAGTATTTGGACTGCCCCTGCAGACAATGACACCCAGAAAAGATTATTTCATATGCATGAGAGATATGCACCTCCACTGAGACTGAGACACACACTTGAATAAGAATCTTGTTTACTCCCAACCACATAAAGTCTGTAATTAATTTTTTTTAACTTTCATGATACTGCTTTACACTGGGGAAGCAAGGTTGTGCAGTATAATGAACTGGCTAGGAGAAAATTAAACAGTAACAATTCACTCCTTGCATGACCATCTCTACATTACAAATTTTTTACATACCAAAGTCAACTATATATATGCCCTCTCTGCAAACTACCAGTAAGTCATAAAATTTACAGGCAAGACCAGGTTATACTGAAAAGCCACCAGCTTCCAAAAAGGACAGACTGTCTTATTCACCCTTTAATTCGATTGTGGTAAGACCTCAATTTCTCTATTGCTTGTCACTCGAAACATTTGTACAAACATTTTACCAACATTGCTATTTGTCTGTACTGACTGCATAAGAACTACTGCATCCACTACCAAAACAACTACCAGTGGGTCAGCAAAATATGACTGTTAGGTCACAGCAAGGATTTACAGTACTTTTGTATTTTATTCAAGTATTTACCAGAGTGCCCGATATCTCTGGCCAGGCTCAAAAGAATTAGCCCAAGATGTTTCCTTAAAGTCCAGCACTCACACGATGAAGAAGAGGGCAACAGCATTCTGTTACCTGTACTCTTACCTGTCCTGGGGTCAAACAGCTGGTTGGCCTCCAAGTCTGTGAAAGTGCTGAAGCAAATGGGGCATTTAAAAGAGGCGCGATTGGTGGAGTCTCTTTCATCTGTCTCAATCCTCCTCCTCATGTGGTCCAGCTTGTACTTCACCACGTTAACCAGAAGGCGGTAGTTGATGAAGTAGTAGTTGTGACGGGTGGTTTTGCCATCTGGAGCCGTCTCTACCCTCATCCTGCATTTGATAAACTTGTCACCCTTGAGGGTGTTGAGGACAGCCCGCAACTGCTTCCTATCAAACTTAAGGAGCTCTAACATGTCCTCTTCCTTCACACAGGGGTTCCTGATGAGAATGTCCAGAGCCAAAGCATGTTCAATGCCATAAAAGCCACGCACCACATATTTGGCAAGGCGTTTGAGAGCTGCTGGGACCTCAGTGAGGACGTCTGGGTCAGTCATAGCAGGTTCAGATCTCAAGCTTCATGTATACTGCAATGAAAAAAAAGGCAGAAGGATTCTTAGCTAGTCTTCTGACTTCAGAAGTTTTATCTCACTTAGAGCTAAGAAAAGGATGGTGTATTTTCCATTTCTCTTTCCCAAGCTCTCTACTGTCTCCTTGGGGTGTTAATAATGCCAATGCTACAGAAGCAGAATTAGGAAATGGTACCTCTCATTCATAACAAAACAACAGAAAACTTAAAAAAAAACAAAAGAAAAATTAAAAAAAAAAAATCACACAAGAAATTGGTACCATAACATATGTCAGATTTCATTTCTACTCACAGCCAAGAGAGCTGGAATAAGCAAGCTGTCTTGAAGCTGAGCTCCAGTAGACAGCTTCATGATCAACTGAGACTTGTAGCTTGGGAGAAGCAGAAAAAGGCTACAGCAAGAAAGGTCCTAAGACAGCCCAAGAGAGTGAAGAAGTCTTAAGGCCTCAGCTGATGTCATCTGATCACATTATAAGTAGCCCTGCCTGCTTCTACTCCTCAGACATCCCTGGGCAGAGATATTATGAGGACAGCTTGCTAGTACAGACTGGTATGCATTCAAGCAAAAGCTCCCAGCTGCACAATGAGAACAGATAGACTTTTTCCTTACTTTCTCATAAATAGACCCTAGTCAACCATCTGCAGCATGAAAACTGTTAGCACTACCAACTACATCACGGACTACTTCAGTCTTGATCTTGGATGAGCAAATAGGTCCTTCCAAAGGACTGATCCTTCATTTAAAGTGTCTCACATTCAGGCCTTAGAAGCCCCTCGATAATACAGCACAATAAATAAAGTAAAAATCAAGACTAAGTGAACATGAAGAGACAATGTGTTTGAAAAGAACTAAGTATTCCACGAAGTATCTTTTGAGCTACTTATCACGACTTACCATGCTGTCTGTGACAAGACAGTAATTTCTTAAGAAATACTGTACTTTCACTTCATTTTTCTTTATCTTAACTTCAAATGGCACAAATGGTCATTAAAATTATATGCTTCTGTGACATACACGGGATGATATATAGGATCATACCATGCAAGGAATTTCTCATATTGCCACCCCCACCACAGACATAGCCAAAAATCAAAACTCATCAGACAACTAACAGCAGTGACCCTTCTGAAGCAGCCAGTTTTGTCCAGTGGAGAGAAAAAGGGAAACAACTCCATAAAGGACAGAGTATAGGTTTACTATCATTTCACGGGGTGGTTTTGCACATCTTCCCTCCACTCTTTCAAGTCTACCCATCTGTAGGCTGTAACAAAATTCCCCTCCACTCCTAATGCACTTGGATTTCCATGTATGAAAGGTTCAAAACAAGCATGAAGCATTATTATAGGTGCTTTTGAAATACTCATTCAGGGGGTTGTACTTCCAGTTAACTTCAAATACAACTTTGAATAGTCTTTTTCAACATGAGACTTTGATGCTGGTTTAGGATATGAATAACCATTTCTTAAAAAAAAGGTTCCTTCAACTGAAGAAAAACCCCACACCTTAAGTTCTGTTTGTTCGTCATTGCTAAGCAATTTTTATCTGTGAACTAATACTGTAAATAGTAAAACTCTGCCAATCTCAATTTTCATTTCCATTAGATGTTTCACACACTGTATACATACCTTCCCAGCATTCAAGTATCAAATAAAGGAAAGAGGAGAGTGACAGCAGAAGAAAGGATCTGGATGGGTATCCTATTTTCTTCATCGCTATCATAAAACCTGTAATATCCTTTTGACAAACACCATTACAGAACTTTTCTATACTCCCCACACTAAGACATCCCCCTGATATCACCAAGCTCTACATGTAATCAAGCAGCTGACGACTCGCTTCAATCAGCTAAGACTACTCAAAAATCTGTGATCATTTATCACAGTAGCCTGCTTGGATTTTTTTTTTTTTTTTTTGGTATTAGCAACACTACCCTCTCAAAGAACTTCAAGCAACATCACCCATTGAAGCTTTACTTCTCTCCAACCCCTACTCTTCTGCAACTGAGGAGGTACACTCCCCTTAAGGGTTATGGCCAGTGCAACTGCAAAGCAATTAGGCTACAGATTCTGTAGCTTAACAGTAAGTAAATTAAGATTGTCCTGTCTTTTCTGCCTTTCAGGTAAGGAAAAAAAACGCCACTTTCATTCTTTTCTTTTAAAACACTTCCCTGACTGAGCTTTTCTTTTTCTCTAACTTGGGCCAAATGGTATTCACAGTGCTGAAATTGAAATGAACTGAACAACATCTATTGACTGCTGGTGTGCACGCTGAGAATAGCTCACAGAAAACAATGCTTGAATGTCCAGCTCCAGCTTCCCTTCAAGGAAATTAAATTAAAATATGTTTATCACAGCATGAATTAGCTGTGAAACAAGTACTTCTAGAGTCAGTTAGCCTTCTTTTGCATGCCAGATACATAATGACTTATTCTCACACAACGGACAGTTTTATAGAGCTTTGCGTTAAAGGTGAAAGCATAAAAGGATGCCCCATCACGAGTTAGCCATACAGTATTTTTGAATCTCTAAGTCAAATCCAATCTGAATACCATCACAGGACATTGTCCCTGAAAATCAATTTTGTTCGTTGGTATTTTTACAGTCTTTCAGTCACTTAAAGATAAATCTTGCTTTTGACTGAATCTGTCAGCAACATACTGATACTATAAAACAATGTCAGTGTAGAAGCTGGCCAGAAGCCTTTACATATTCAAATTGATTAATGCTTATTCAGAGTTTAAGCACAGTATAACATTAATGTAAAGGTCAATTTTAAATAAAACCTGGCAGCCCAGAAGAGATCTAAAAAGTCAAATCTTTAAAGTTGAAAGGTTTTTAGGTGCTGATCTCAAAAACAAATCAACAAACAAAACTTCTCTCCTCAACAATTCAATGTCCCCTAAAAATTCCTTGAAAAAAACTTGGCAACACAACTTGCAGTGGGCACAGTGACCTTTAGAACATCAGCTGCAACAAAAAAAAGGAGAAAAGTGTTTTTAAATAAGCACATCTCACTCTGGATACCTCATCTGAGAGCTGATGGAAAGCATTTTCTCTGCAAGAATCTCATTGAGAAGACAGCTGCAGACTTCCACAGCCACTTGCAAAACAGATTTAAGGTACCATTTCCCAAATAATGCACTTAAACAGCTTAAACTGAGACCTACAAGGGACCAATAAATAAAACCACCTCTAAGAGCATATACTTTTCCCTTGGTTTTCAGCAATAGTTAGAGATTTAGTAACATTTCTTCTTGTCAATCACTAGAAAATGTTTTTTTTTCATCTAGTGGAACCAGGAGTTTTTACACAATTATTTAGTCTCCTCTACTGGGGATTTTTAGTGATGTCCAAATTTTCTATAGCCTCAGGTAATGGTGGGCATCTTGAGTGTTAACACTGGTTTTCTTCCAGACGTGGATATATGGAAATACAAGCATTCTGAAAACACCACAAACCATTCCTTCCCATTAATATCCACTTCAAAAAAATTGATTAACAAGGATTAAATTCTAAATCCTGTAGAAGACAGCCTTTGGGCAAGACAGCCAATTGACTAGTGGCAGATTAAAAAAAAAAAAAAAAAAAAAGCCAGCCACCAAAGAACACCTTCGTCAAGTTTTGCTACGTGAAGGTCAACAATGCTGAGCACAACTAACTTAGCTCTTAAAACGAGCATGGGCACATGTTCAGCAAAAAACAGTTTTTATACTACATCGAGGCCCAATGCCAACAAGGGCTCGAACAAGTTCTGTATGGTCGGATGAAGGACCTATTTTGCAACATCATTCTCGATAATCACGTTCTCATGTAAGTTAGGTGATACAGAACAAAGCCATGAGAGAGAGCATGTATCACTGCCAGAACTGACCAGGCCAGGGTCTAACAAGTTGTTTCTCTAGGAGAAATTGGCACCTGGCCACCCTGCCATGAAGAATCCCAGGCTACAGCATATGAGCTCCAAATCCTTACTACCTTTCACCAGGCAAGACAGACAGCGAACCAGCTCACAAATGGTAATCCAGCACCACAAGAATATAATTTTAAAATTCAAAAGCATGGGACTTTACCATTGCATCCTTGAGCAGTGATTTCACCTTCCATTGAAGCAGTAAGTCAAACCTGAATTAATTATGTGTGCAAAGAAAAGAAATACGGGAACATCTCCTAACAAGGTTTTAATGGACGTGCATCTGTTTCATAATAATGTCTGTACTGACCTTAATAATGTATGAACACCAAGGGACATTGTCAGGGAAAAAACAAAGGAAAACCAATGGCCAAGATAAACCACTACGCAGTAAGCACCTACAGCACCAATAATAAAGCACACTGGACAGGATGATATTCAGAAACACCCAAATGAAAAATTTCAAAATTTAAACATGGGCTTTATTAAGAGAGACAGCTGTTGGGGAATTGTTCTGGGTAATTACGTGAATACAGTTCAGTATTATGGGTATAGCAGGAATATTTAGGGTTGACATCCTATGTTATCACAGTAGGAAAGCAACCCTAAATAGACAATTGGTTTTTAAAAAAAAAATCTCTAAACATCAGAATAAATATTGACATGACTATAAAAGACAACACCGAGAAGAAAGACCTAAAGTTACACTATACAACCAGTTTTGCTGGGTTAAGAAAAATCAGGGTACAGTCTGCAAAATGGAATTCATACCTCAGGTTGAGTAAAATGCCTGAGGCATAGGTCTTGAGCGTAACTAGAGATGTCAGAAAGGAAATCCAGATGAGAGTAAGTGACCGCAAAAACCCATTCAGTATGATGGGATGAAAGACTATACAGAAGCCAGAAACTCAACTGAGCAAACATCTCCACTGGTCAGGACTTTCCTGATCCAACATCAAAAGTAACTGAACACTTCTTCTCTATGTACAAAGATTTCAAGAATTCTTTTGTGAAATTTAACAGGAATTGTGCTAAGGATGTTGGATCTGTTCTTCCTGCTTTTCCTGACTAAAGCTGAGACAAAAGATGACAAGTGCTAAAAACGGCAATACCTAGAAGCCACAATGTAGAAGAAACTAGAGCTAAAAGTTATGAAAACATAAGTCAGCCAGTAAATTAACCTAAATTTTTATCCAATACTGCAAATGAACATCACCTTGTTTTAACCTGTAACTTTGAGGCTTATATTGACTCCGCTAGTAACTTTACCTTAAAAAAAATTTAATTAAGTCTCACTGTTCATACATTTGACAAGGCAAGCATTTTTAAAAGTGGGATATTGAAAAAGGAAGCAGACTACTCTTCAGACTCATTTGTGTATGCAAACCCTTTATAACACCCCAGATCTCTTTCGGAGGAAAACTTGTAGATGCAACGTTGGCTGGGAACCTAGGTCTATGAGACATACTGTTCACACTTGGAAAGGTGCTTCCTGGTTTTCCCCACATCTAATTTAAATTGTCAGTGCTCTTTTTCACTAAATCTTTGAGACCAGGTTTTGCTGGTTTGTTTGGAAAACGCTTCTGTAGGCTTCTGCCATAAGATTTAAAAAAAAGGCAAAAAAAAAAATTGCTTGCTTACACCACTGATACAGTTTCTTCAGGAAAAATCTAAATCAGGTAAGAAGAGAGTCCCTCACCTATGAATGTGGCAAAGTACAACAGGCTTCCTGGAGCCAGTGTATACCATATCCCGCTCCAGCAGTCCCTTGCAAACACCAGATCCTAGTTTTGTAGTCTCTCACTCTAATAAAATTTAAAATTCTGTCTTCTAGAAGATGGTGAGGTTAAGCTGAGAGAAGCAATTCTGTATCTTCTGAGTAGGGGGAGGAAAGGCACAAATTTCAGAACTACGGTGGGAAAACATGCCATCAAGATTTTAAATGTCTGTACAATGTAACCTCAGCTGCTACTTGTCCTTTCCAGAAAATGGAAAATGGCACAGAAGCTTCCAGTTTCAAGTCTGCTTTTTTTCACCTTTTTTTTTCCACCCACATCAGTTGCAAACTCAAAGTCTTCTGGCATTTTACCAAAAGCTTACTGAATTCTACTCCTTGGAGACTTCAGGAACACCGCTGCTCAGTGTTCCTCCTGTACTACATCTTGATGAGAAATCATGTATTTTCATTGCAAGACTTTACCTGAAGTATTAAAGGAGAAAAGAACAATCTGCTTTCACTCAAATCCTACCTTCTTGTTCGCATTCCATAAACTGAAACCAGAATGTCACAAGCATCAAAGGGTTTTCTTCTCTTAAGGTGAGAAGTTGTGCTGTGACTGCACACAGAAAGGCTGAATGGTCTGGCTGAAATTAGGACATTTTCACAAGTAAAAATATATGAAACTACACATGATAAGGCCACAAGGCCTAACTGTGCAAGGCAGAAACTGAATGATGCAGGCTCGGGATGTAATTCTCAATCACATTTGTAAGCTAAACCTCACGTAACAATAGCAAGATGTCAATAAGTTAAAGGACTACCTATGTGCACATATACAAACAGATGTAATGCTCAGAAGTCCTTCAAATACACATTAGTATTAACTAACTGTTTACAGTTGTAGCTGTAGACAAAAATGGAGCGTGCTATTTACTGAAGGCCAATCTTGGTGGCTAAAATAGTGAAGGTACAAGTTTCCTGTTACAGATTAAGTCAAATGAAACCCTCCCATAAAGCAATGTTTCTCTTCCTTCCCAGCCTTCAGCCACAACCCCCGCTGATTCTGCGCCAATTCTTCCAGTTGCCTGTTCATGCAGCAAGGTGAATCAAGCTGATTAAAAGTGAAAAACTAACATGTCAAAAACTTAAGGTATTTTAGAGGGAGGGCAAGGGGGAAAAGTTAAAGAACTAAATAATTTACGCTACCAGACTAGAGCCTACGCAAAGCAGAGAGAAGAAAGCATGGCTAAGGATGTAGAACAGCGAGCTTTCCCCAGGTAGTGGCAAAGATGTTAAATTGACTCAACTGTAACGTGAAGTTGCTAGAACATTTTAACCACGGACATCAAAAACTCTTACAATTTGAACATATAGCAACAGAAGCACCTCCATTATTTTGGAGACTTCTCAGCATTGGCCCTCATATAATGAAGTGATAAGGTTTGGGAATTTTTTTTTTTTTTAAGGGAAAAAGTAAGAGTGTTTCTCACAACTATCAAGCCAAAGAAGCCATGACTACACTCAAGTACAGTGGGCTTAACCCTGGCATTCCTTGTTAAGTTTCTGACAGGAAGAAAGCAGTAACTGTTTTTCACATTCTGGATTCAATGAGACCTGGAACACCACACTTCTCATCATGATAGATGACGTGAGTGGTATTGCCTGATTTTCAGGAATTCCAGAAAGAATTAAGACAAAGATTGACAAAAGTATTAGGTTCAGAAAAGTTTTAGTTCATCAGGATATACCAAAGAAGTGTATATACTGTGGATGTAAGCAATAAAGAAACAGAGAAACTAAATAACAAGATACTAGGTTAGCTTTAATTCATGTAGTTTCCTGTTTACAAGAATTCCCTACAGCATCCTGTGTGAAAGGGAGCTATAAATAGTATCTTAAAGGAGGTGGAAGGTAGGAATGAAACTCCCATCATCTCTCATTGCTACCAGAAGGGTATTTGCTCCTCTCCCGAGCATGTGGCTCTGCCCTCTCCCATGCCAGCTCTGGCACTCAGAAGACCTGCCTGTGCACCAATTTACATCACTAAAAGGCAGAAAAATACCTCCCCTCCCCCTTTTACTGGGTTTTTCAACAGTTTAATCAGTTGAACCAGCTAGTGGAAAAGTCCAATGAGCAACTGAACCAGCAGACATGAGTGGATGCCAGCACAGGAGATGAGAGAAAAAACTACCTTTCATCACTGAAAAATACTAAACCACCTATATTTCACGAAAATGCGCCTTAACTGTGCGCTGCTGAACACCCTTTTCAGAATGCTGATCTTCCTTATTCATTCTGAGTCACCTGTAATGATACAAGTTTGACAGTTGGACCCACTTAGCAGCTCAGTGCCATTATGAGATGTGACGTTCATCTGCTTCTCAGGGAACCAGCAAGCTCCTGAAGCCAGAAGAAAACTAACTCACGAAAAGAAAGTATGTTGCTGATCCAGCAAACTGAATGGTTTCACTGTATGGGCTCAACCAATGGTCAAACCTGGCAAAAAGAAATAAGCTAATTTGTTACAGTGTCAGTTACTCCTCAGACTCCCATAATCTTGCAGCTTCCTCCAAATTACAAATTGCACAGACTTCCTGGACTATAGTAGACTAAGCTTTAACACCACGTGAAGCAGAAAACCCCCTCCTATGCCCTACCCACTTTTATGTGTTGGGCTTTAAACATCTGACTGTGTAGGCTCCCGTAGGACGAGAAACTTGAGGGGCTCAGCGGTATCTCCTGAAAAAAAACCAAATCAAACAAGAAAACCCCCACAAACACCACCCAAGGAGAGGCAGGCGGTGGTTCGGAGCCAAAGGCGAAGCAGGGGCCCAGGGCAGCGACCCAGCGGGACAACGTGAGGGGACCACGGGCCCCGGCGGCGTACTCGGCCCCTCAGCGGCACCCAAAACACCTGAGGGAACGGAGAGACCGGGCCGGGGGAACCTCGGGCCGCGGGTAACCCACCGCGGCGGGGACCCCCGGGAAGCGGAGCGGGAGAGGGGACTCCGGGCCGCTTATCCCCAGCGGCACCGCGGGAGTCCTCGCCCGGGACGACGACGACAGCGGCCGTTCCCCGGGGCCGGCACTGACCTGCCGCCGCTTCCAGCTCTCCCCGGCTCCGGGCGGCTCTTCCGGCGGTTACCGTGAGAGCGCGTCAGAGCCGCGCGCGCCCCTGTGACGTCAGCAGGGCGCCTCGCCCAACGGCCCTCCTGCCGCGCCCGCGCGGAACCACCCCGCCGCCCGTGCCCGGCAAGCGTCCCGCTTCGTGACTGAACGGTGAGCGACAGGAAAACGAGCCAATCGCGTCCTGATAGAGCCCGCCAGCGTTCCCGCCCTCACATGAGTTGAACCGATCGTAGCGCCGGCCAGCAGCCAATAGGCTGAGGGAAGCGGGAAGGAGCGTGCGCTGCGATTGGCGGCGCCGGGAGAAGGAGGTGGTCTCCGGGGTTGTTGCTAGGTAGAGTAAGATGGCGGCTTTGGACAGGGTCAAGGTGCTGGTGTTGGGCGACTCCGGTGAGTGTCCCTCCCCCCGCCCCTTACGCGCGCGCATAGAGAGGGCGGGGGGCGTCGCACCCCCTCCCAATAGGTGCCGGGCGGCGCATGCGCGCCGCTCCGCTCCCTCCCCCGCCCACCCCGCCCGCCGCCTGACTGGAAACCGTCCGGCGGGAGCCCCGGTTCTCCGAGCCGGGCCGGCCGGGGGCCCTGCCCGCCTCCCGTCGCGTCCCCTGGGGCAGGGAGTGCGGGTGTCAGCCGGTGGTCCTCGGGGCTTTGCTCTTTGCCTCCCTCGCACCTTTGCCCCCCGACCGTTGGGCGCTGACGGGTGGCCGTTCCCCGGTACTGCTGGGACCATCCGCGTTTAGTTTGTGCTTCTGCCCGTCAGCTCTTGGGCCTTTTTTACCTGCCCTTGCGCGATCTCCCAGGAGTTGTCGCTCTGTGTGCACTTGCAGGTGTCGGAAAGTCTTCGCTTGTTCACCTCCTGTGCCAAAACCAGGTGTTGGGAAACCCGTCCTGGACAGTGGGCTGCTCCGTGGATGTTCGAGTAGGTGACGTGCCCAACCTCTGGTAGCCCTTGCTTAAAGTGTAAGGGAAGAGAAGGGCCTTGACTTTTTTTTTTTTTTTTTCCTCATTTTCATTACTTACCAGCCCAGAAGGAGGTGTGTTTCAATGTTTTGTTTTGCTAAGGTCTTAAACTTTTGAAGCAAAGAGTATTAAATGTGAGCCAGGCGCTTGTGTGAGCAAGTTTTGACCTTCCAAGGTTGTCAAAAACAGACAAGATATTTGTCATTTGTAGCGCCTCTCCTTACCGCAGTGGCCAGTGGTGCGTTACAAGTCATGGAGTGGACAGTTTGAGTCAGAAGGCACGGAATTTAAACCACGCTTCCCCGAGAAACAGTTAATGCACAGCTAAATTGTCAGCCAAATTTATTGAAGAAAAACAAGTTGCTTGTTTAATTTGAGGGTACTTACCGTGACCATACAGTTGCTTCTCCTGTCTGCTCACTGCAGGACCTACTATCAGAGGAATGAGGATATTCATCTAGCAGTTTTTTGGCCCATCCTACAATCCTCATGGGATAGTGATAAATGCTTTTTCCCTTCATCACTCTTTGCCGCATTCCGCTTGAAACGCGCTGCTGTAGGTTAGGAATATATTTCCAAAATTTGGTGAAAGAAACGTGGCAGTCCTGTTTGACTGTGGAGCAAAACTACCTAGCAGATCCAGGGGCAAAAATTATTGATTGATTAATTCAGTTGAGATGTCAGTGAGAATTTCGAGAGGAAAGAGATGTGGTCAGTTGGAATCCGATATGGTCACCTGTGTTAATATTCTTGCAGTACTACCATGTGGGTTTTAACAACTGTAAGAAGTCGTGACCTTACTTTTTCACCTGCTTTAGCAATGTGCTATTTCTAAGCACATCATGAGGCATTAGGTTTGTTAATACTGAGGTGGAGAGGATACTCCCTGCCGACTCACCAAGCTCCATTTCATATAAGAGCTGTGGTATTGAGTGGCCACTTCTTGACTCATTCCATCTCTCTTCTACTTGAGAGATTTGAAATGGTGTCAACATGAGAATTCACAAATTTCTATCCAAGTACAGTAATTCTTTCAGCTGAATGTATAAGTGTTGTGTGGATTAACTCCTGTGAGCTGGTGCTGTGGTTATGTATGATGTGAATTTTTCATCAGATCCATGACTACAAAGAAGGGACTCCAGAAGAGAAGACCTACTACATTGAACTGTGGGATGTTGGAGGTTCAGTGGGTAGTGCCACTAGTGTGAAAAGCACACGAGCGGTATTTTATAACTTGCTGAATGGTAAGTTTGCTTGGTGTAAATCTGGTTTTGGTCTAAATCTGGTTTTATCACTGTTTCTGTTACAAGCTGTCTCTTGATTCTGGGGCAGGATTCCTTTAAGTCTGGCTGAGGGCTATATTGTTCTCTTTTCTGATTCCAGTACATTTATACAGGAAAAAATCTGATACCATTTGTAGGCAGAATTTTATGGATTCAGCTTTGAACTGAAAAGCTATTTTAGGCAAACCTGTGCAAGATGGGCTTCATCAGCCTTTCACTTCAGTCTTGTGCAGCTGGCACAGCAGGGAGTCTTTGAAGTTGCAGTGGTGTCTCTTCCAGCTACACTTGCAGACATAAAGGTTGCCTTCACCATTCCAGACCTGATATACATGCAAAAATATGATATATATTTTCTTGTCTGTTCAGTTCCAAAACCTACAGCAGGGAAATAAATATTTGAATTTACATGAGCTTTGATAGTTATGCCCTATCCTGGGAGACTTGAACTGTTCTCCCATAAAATTGCAATATGCTGATAACCATCTTGCCTCTACTCATTTAATTTGCCAGACTATTTTTAAGAATTGAGTCTTGCAACTTGCTGTATATAGAAAGTGTGTTATGCCTTCTGCTGAGATACCGACTTAAAGGCCTAGTAGTTTACCTATACCAGTAATAAGAGCAAATAAGAGATTATAAGCTTAACAGTGCAGTATTTCAGTTGTTACTTTTTGGCATCCAAGGATAGTTCACTAAAAATAAATGTATACCAGATTAGCAACTGCTTCTGAAAATATGTCTCAAATGTTCTGTTTGATTCTCTTTTCTTGTTCCCAGTCATTGAGGGCCTTTCAATAATGTGTTAAGCCATACAATAAACATTTTTGCTCTGTGATTATTTAACTAGTTAGTTATTCCTCCTTTCCCAGGAGGAAAACTGTGTGTAGGTACCTCTTGCTTATATCTTTAACCAGACCTCTGTAAATAAGGTTTGAGCTGAGTTGTGCCCTCAAAGCAAGCCTCTTTGATATATGAAAAAAATTGATTTCTTTTTGACACCAAATCCGCAGTATGCCAGCAAGTGTGGGTCAGACTTGGAAATATCCTAGAACAGCCCATTAGGAGATGAAATCTTGAATTTATGTGTCTGAACTACAATTGATGGTGTTATTAAAATAGAGTTATTTATCTCCACTGCCTGAAAGGTATTATTAGGCAGCTTGCATATGAAAACTGTTGACTTTGGTAGTTAGCCTTGGCTCTGGTTTCTTTCATTAGATTAATTCCTTCATTAGAGCTTGTCTCACAAATTGCCTCTGTTTGACCTGATTTAAGAAGAGAAAATGAATGCGTTCCTTCTGCCTGACTGCTTGTGCTTCCTGGGCTTCCAGTGGTCTGAAAGCCTGAGATCAAAAGACAGTTAATGTTTGGTTGTGGCAGCATCTGTGCAGGCTGTGAGGGAGACCTGGCTGTTGACAAGGTTAGGCATGGTTCGCTTTTGGTTTGACTGCAGATCTTCTGCTTTGGGCACCCTGCATCTGGCGCACAGACTGTGATAGTCTTGGGATAGTGACTAGGCAGTAAGGCTGTGGCTTGCAGACCTTAATGGGGGAGGAACATTTCCTTGAGTAGTCATTGGTCCTGCCTGCTCTTTTTTGATGTTGACACAGTCTTTTTCTGCTGGTGCAACTAACTGTGTAGGTTTTCAGTGAAGCAGATAAGGGAACCGACCAATCAAAAATATAACTGAGAAAGAGTGTCTGGAGGTGGAGAGTGTTTCTTACAGATTATGCAGCAGTGCCTCTGAAATCTGTTGCGGTAGGCCAAGTTACGTTGTATCAGGCTTTTTCTCCCTACTCTGGGGGTGGACACGCAGCAAGTTGCCTTTTTATGCTGTTACTGAGATTAAATGCTTTGAGATAGGGCTATGGTTGCGATATGCTGGGAACTCTCATAGGAGAGTCTGTGCACAGTCGTGTATGGTAGTGGAAAATGTTTGTGGGAATGTGGTCTGTTTGTAGCGTGTACAGTGGCTGGCACCTTTGGGAGTTAAGGTGAAAGATTAAATTAATAAGTTTTGTCCACCTGTAGGCTGTGAAGTGTGTTGAGAACAAATCCTGATGAAGATAAGGGATATAATTCCATTGTGTCCTTGAATTCATGATGGTCTGAAGTCTGGAGGAAGTGGGAACGTTCCACAGGTTGCAGAAGGTGTGAATAAATAGAAGAAATTTGCTAGCAGGAGTTGGTAATTGAGTTAGGAACTGTGGCTATCAGAAGTGGGTGTCTTAATAGCACAGCTAGGAAATTTGGCTGGCTGTTTTCTGTCTCAGAATTTACATTTTGAAGGATCATGGTAATGAAAAATGCTAGAAGCTTAATCTTAAATACATGAAATCTTATTAATTCATGTTTCTACCAACCATTTGGTGGACTGTGAAATTTATCAGAGTCTGTTTCCCCTTTAGATATGTCCCCAAGTATGTAGCATTAGTTCTTGAAAATGTAGGAAAGCAATAGTGCTCTCTAAACTCTTTGAAACAAAGAAATAGCCTTTAGACTTTTTAGATGCTGTGAGAAAAAGATAGTTATGTTTACCAATTAGGTAAAACTGAGAAAGGCTAAATTCTCTGCTGCAGTAATACAAAGCTTCAGCATCATTAGGACTAGACAGAGCAGAATCAGCGAATGCCTGCAAGCCTCTTGCAGATTAAACCTTGAGGTGGCTGTTCGTTTCCTCCTTTCATCAGAGTTTTCTCTTAGCGCTTATCTAGTTCCTGATAAGCAGCTTTAAAAAACCTGTTGCATCCTGATATTTTCAGCTTTACTCATTCACTGTAACTGAACCGCTTATACATCCCTTTCTTCATTCTCAGATATCTGGGAACCTGCAGATGTCATTTTGGTAAGATAAGGAAAAAAATATATATCATTAAATAGCATCTTGCTGCCTTCTCTTTCACTTTAGGGATAATTTTAGTGCATGACTTAACCAACAAGAAATCGTCCCAGAATTTGTATCGCTGGTCTTTGGAAGCACTCAACAGAGATGTCGCTCCAACAGGAGTTCTTGTGACAAATGGGTGAGTGAAAAACATACATGCAGGGTTAAGACGCAATAATTCCAAGCTGTTATGGAAGTCTCTAAGACTACTTGAAGCCCACATGAAATTAGATGTGGCTCGACTTTTAAGAAAGAAAGAAAAAAATGGGGGATTTCAAAGAAAATCACTGTTGTTTTTGTTTTACACTGCCAGTCAGGCCATTCTGCCAGTAGATTCCCAAGCTGTATGGCAGAGACATTGCTTTAAAGGAAAAGATGTTTACTGTGTCCTTCATTTGTCTGAGGCCTCTGTAAGAGTGGGTCCAGTCCCTGATACCTGAAGACTTGTGTGTCTGTACTGACATGTGCAAAGCCCTTGTACAGGAAGTATCATGGGATGGCATGTCTCTGTTCCAAAAGGCTTTCCCTCCATGCACCAAGACTGAGGAAGTTCACTTAATTATTTGTTGTTTTGGGTGATGGCAGAATTATTTCAGGAATGTGGCTAAAAAAGAGCTTAGAAAACTCTGCTTAAACAGCATGTTCATAATTAGCTTTCCAACATCTTGTCAAGTATTTCCTCCTCTACCTCCGTGCTCTGGTTATACATGTAGTCAAGGAGGTTTTAAGATCATTGATAAACCTCACACATGAGCAGGGAAGCAATAATAAGGGCTAGCTTTTTGTGGGAAGAATATCAATTGTTTATATGCCTGTGCTGATACACAGGTGTTTCTGTAGAAATATGGGAGAAGGAGAAGAGGGTTTGCATTGTATAAACTGCAAATTTCTCCAGTTTTTCCACATACAGGTTCTTCACGATAGTTTTTATTTTCAAAAGCTTAACTTCCATCAGGGCCGGATTCTCAGCCACCAGCAATTGCTTGGTCAAGTTGTTGCTGTTGGTTGTAAAATTACTTTCTAGAAAGCTTGGTTTAGGTAAAGATGAAAGACAAGTGATTATCCTAGCTGAGGAGAATGATTGGAGCTTGGATTTGTGATGACATTTAATTGCAATATTATTTATTTTATAAAGGCTGTCTTTGGTCGTTATTCATACCTGAATCAAAGCTTGTTGGAATTCAGCTTATGGTGGCTACCTTTCTTGAATGTAGAAGAATTAGCAACTTGACACCACACAATTGTTACTGCAACTCTCTTTGATCTGACGTGGAAAGGGGTAGTGTTTCACAGTTGCAATTTATTTCATTATCCCTCCTTAAAAAGTGTATGTATGTAGGAACTTTAGATGTTCAGAGATGCCAGCGCCCTGATCTGTCTCTGGTGGCTGCATACACTTGGTAGAGTACTGGAATTCCTATTTCTTTCCTGCTTGTGTTAGCATTTTTTCTGCGGTTCATCTATGCTGAGAAGAAATCCAACTCAAGTGGTTTCTTTCCTCTTTCCTTTCAATTCCTGTGAGGTGACTTAGGTGCAGAAGCCCTTCCTTAATTTACAGATACAGCACATTCTAACTTAGATAAATAGTGACCCTTAATAAATAAATGACCATTATTTGAAAGGAACAGGGGAACTGATGGTGCCCCTGTGCCCACTTACATGACCATTGCTTCATTCAGAATTGTATTTGTTTTCCTCATCAGTGACTATGACCGTGAACAGTTTGCTGATAACCAGATTCCACTGCTGGTAATAGGAACTAAGCTGGATCAGATCCCAGAAGCTAAGCGGAATGAAGTTTTGACCAGAACAGCTTTCTTGGCTGAGGATTTCAATGCTGAAGAGATAAATTTGGTTGGTATCCTTGTCACCAGTGTTGTTTTATATGGAAGCAAGTCCCAATTTTTAGTAAGTAAAGATGTTGTGACAAAAACTGGGTTTTTGGAGATTTTCTCAGTAATGCTGGAGTCATGCACATTTTGATTGGCCACCCCCCCTTGCCTGATGAATCAATCATCCTTGTTTCACTATAGGGAGGTATAGGCGATGTTAGATAAGGTCACCAAAGCTTAGAATTGATGGTTGGGAGTTAAGTTTTCTCTTCCCTGTTCTTAGTTCTGACACAGACTATCTTTGAATGAAACATCAAGATCACTTTATTTTTAGAGAGAGAGAGAAAATGTGTACATGTATAAAAATATGCATGCTGTGTGAATGCTTGTATGTACACACATGCACACACTATCTCATGTGTAGCCTGTACAAATTATTAGCTGACTGTATAGCCGGTGGCAGAAGGAAGACGTGAAGTGCATAGGGATGTACTTAGAATTCTCCAATTGATTCACAGAACAGAAGTTGGCCTTTTCTCTCAAATGACTGTGGAGCAAGAATCAGCAGATACACTGTATTTTCCCTAGCTGATTGCATGCGCGCGTGTCAGGGGAATGGGTATGCTGATTTCTGTGTGTATGGCTTCCTTGCATTGATTTCTTTGTGCTTGGTTTATTGTTGTCTTGTGTGTGTTCTAGGATTGCACCAATCCTCGTTACCTGGCTGCAGGTTCATCCAATGCTGTCAAACTAAGCAGGTTTTTTGATAAGGTAAGTCAAGTCATTTAAATTATGTTTTATTGTTCTATGTATTGAATGCTGTCTGTGATTTGAACATGGAACAACGGTTAGCTGCTCCTTTCACATTCCACTTTTTGACTTGGTTCAAACCAGGTGTGGGGAGGCCAAAGGTTGGTCTGCTCTTGGAAACCTCCAGAAAATAGCTGATCTGCTGGAAGATTTGATTCTTGATCTGCACAGAGCAATGAAAAAGAACTCACAAGTGTGCAAAGACACTCTGCATATGCTTTTGGAGTCCTTTGGCAGGCCAGAGGGTTTGCAGTGTACTAAGGTAGTAATGTGGGGAGTTACAAGACTATGGTTAGCTCTGTTGATCCTTGTTAAAGCAAACTTTAGGCATAAGAAATTTGGCGTATTACTCTCCCTTCCTGCAAAAGACAGCATCAAGGCCTGTTGTGAAAATGACAGAAGAGATGCTCTGGTTTAAGTGTACCTTCAACAAAGATACCGTAGTGGAGCAGATCATCTCCTGTAACAGATCATGCTTTAGAGAAAATTTGGCCTGCATTTTCTTTGGTGGAGGCTGTAGATTTTACAGGGTGATACAAATCACTTTTTGATTCTTAGATTGATGGTTCTGCCTCCATAGGTATCCTTCAGCACAGACAGTGTGTGCATCATTCTCAGACAGCAAGTCAGGCTACCTCTTCTCAAGCATCTCCTATGCCCAGGGGCTACTCGGAACCACTGGAGTTGTTATGCACCTGCAGAATGAGCTTTTTCTAGTGCTCAGATCCACTGCACCTGCAGAGAGGGGTGGGAATAACTGACTCTGATTCAGTGAGGAGACACCCAAACCATCACCTCCATTACTAGAGAGCGCTGACTAAATTAGGTGTGTAGAAGTTGAGGATAACACAGCTTTACTAAGGATGGCTGGAGGTGGCAACTCCTTCTATGTGTAATAGAGCATTGCACTTAAAGCAATAGGCCTGGAGCAGGGGACATGGGTTCAGACCTTGTCCCAGTTAGCCGTGAGTTTCAGTGCTCATATGTGAAATGTTGATTGGAATCTGAGGTTATGCATATGCTGTGCCAGCTAAGGTCATTCTCTGTTCTTCCCAGGTCATAGAGAAGAGATACTTCTTAAGAGATGGCAATCAGGTTTGTCATTTTTTCCTCCTTTTTAGTTTTGTTTCTCCCTGTGTAATGTGAACTGCTGACAGAGTCCTCTATAAAACATGGGCTTCACGTGACCTAAATGATAATCTGTGCTGGTAGTTGAGGTTTTTAAATCTGTGGGAGCACAGCTGTTTTGGATAGACAGAAAAATGGCTGACTTTTGTCAGCTGAAGTATTTGTCTGTAATGTGATTGGCAGTGAAATAATTTAAGTATGCTAACATAGTAGAAGTTGTAAGAGTGAGGTAAGATGGGCAAATATGATCTCTTCCAGATATGTCAGCTTCAGGCTGCTTGGTTGCAGATTTAGGCCAGAGATGCTGTCCTGAAGGTCAAAGAAAAGGCTTTTTTTGCACAGCTGGAACTAGCATTTTATGTTTTGTACAGGTATTTTTCATAGAACCAGTGGAGCCACAAGGAAAATGGCAGTATGATACCAGCTTGTAATTCATTCTGAAATGGCTGAATTAACTGTTTTCAGTACAGTTGGTGAAGAACTAGCAAAATGACTCTCGTGGTTTGGGCAGGCCACTTCAACTTTTTGTGCCCCCCACCTTCCCATGTCTAGTCTACCATGCAGGGAGTAGTGAGGTTCCATTTATCATATCTGTGAGGTGCTTGCAAATTACCGTGAATAGCACCACTGAAATACAATCGAATGTATCGTTAGATGTAGCTATGCTGAAAGCCCCTTAGGGAGAGTGGGGAAAAAATAGTCACAAATTACAAAATGCTTACTTTCTTTGAGCATTTTTTTATGCCTTTTAAAAATAAATTTGCTTTTTCCTGTTTCAGTTCTGCTTGATGCCTTTTTTTCCTCCCTTCTTCCCTCCTCCCCACATTGTAGTGAAAGGAAGTCTCCCTGTCATGGGGATAATAGCTCAATGCAGAAATCTGCATGTGTGCTGGTTGTCTTTGATGCATGATGTAAGATTTTTATTTTTCTTATTTGATCATTTTTAGTGGCTAGCCAGGGATTAACTATATATTCCTTATGGCCACATGCCAAAGATTACAGCCTTCTGATGACTACTTTCATCTGCCTCACTGAAAACAGCTCAAAAGCTTAAAACAAATCTTAAGTAGTGGACAGTCATATTTAAAGAGACAAAATCCAAATTTGGAACTAGAGATTTCATTATAACCTTTTAACATTATTATTTGAAATAATCTACATAATGTAAATCTTACAAATGTGTTTGTGGGTTTTCTACAATAGGTGTCTTCGATCACTCGTGTTTTGAGGTATTTCCATTATAGACTTCTTCAGGATTAAAAGAATGATAAGTTTCAAATTGTTTGTAGCTATGACTTCGATCATATCTCAGATAAATAAATAATTGTTAACTCTTAATTAGTGACTTTGATATAAAAAATGCTAAAGCAGATAATTTTTTACCTATGGTGTCCTGCTACTTTTTAGTTATAATGATTGCATTTTTCCTTTTTGAATTCCCAAAGCAGTTTTCATGAGATGAACCTTTGTGCAAAATCTGCCTGATTTTTCCCTTAGAGATGATTGCTTTTCAGAGATGAAAAAAACAATTCCTGAATGAGTACCTTGCATATCTGTTTGAGTTTTGGGCCTGAAAACCCTAACTAAATTTAAATTGTGGGCTTTTTAGTGGACTTTTATTTTGGGTAGTCGCTTTAACTTTCTCAGTTTACCAATGAAGTGTGTAACCTAAACAATCCACGTTGTATTGTAAATTACATTTTTGTCCCATACCATCCATACATGCCCATGTTCTCCTGGTGTGGAGTCCTTGGTTGACACCTTCCATTTTAATACACTGTATTTCCTATGAGAGTGTGGAATTGTTTTGGGAGGATGTGTTTACTGGGTCTGCTGTTTCTGCTTGTGTGTAGTTAGATATCTAAAAGTTACTCTGGACTATAATCAAATTGTTTTATGATGCCAATAGGGCAGACATCTTAAACAGTATTAGAAAGCAATGCATCTCTTTCTTCTGGGGGATTTGCATTGGACTGCAAATCTGTTTGAAATACCATTAAGCCAGGGAAGCTTCTGATGGTTTCAAGTAGATTTTCTTTGTAAGCACTCATTGTCACAGTGTAAGCAGTATCTACAGATTGGCTGCAAAAGCAGGAGTGCTAATCCTTTGCGTTGTTGCAGCCATTTCTATTCTGGTGGTTTTCTTAAAGCTTTCGGCAATTGATAAAACTGTACTTTCAACTACCAGTGAAGTGCTGCCGTGTCAGGTTAGAAGGCATAAAGTCTCAACAGATCTTTAATAGGACTTGGTAATACTATTTTATAGTATTATGTATGCATTTGAATCTGGGGGGAAATACGGACTTTGAAATCTGTAATTAACTGGTTTAGGATCTGCCCAAGAAATTAAGACTTTCATTGTAACCCTTGCCAAAAAGCCTTAAGGAGCTGCATCAAAAAAATGAGCCATACTCAAGTTTTGCAGCTTGTTTAACTAATGGTGCTCTTCTAGCAGTAAGCTGAAGCATTTTAGTCCTGATGCTGGAGATGGTGTGGAAGAGGAAGGCGTTGTTGCAGTTGGCTTGGTAACAAGCACTCAAATGTGGGCTAGAGGGGGAGCTCATGCTGATTCTGACATGATGACTTATCTTTCCTGTCTCTAGATTCCTGGCTTCTCTGAAAGGAAAAGGTTTGGAGGAGGAACACTGAAGAGCCTTCATTATGATTGAACACTGACAAAGTGGAAGATGACTCCTCTGAGTTCCTAATGACATTCCCATTCTGACTGGATGCTTAAAGACAACAATGCTTACATCAAGCAGAGTAAAATGATATTACAGCCAGGTAGACTGCTGAAACTACTTTTGCTGGAAAAGACTTGAGGAAGAATTCCAAAAATCTTACCTGAAGCCTAGAGTGTTTCTTAGGATTGCAGGCCTTCTGGATATATGGGAACATTTGGGGAAAGTGTGCAATAAATTGAATGCCTCTCACACTGCTGTGGGAAACTTTATCATACACAGCACGCATATGTGACATTTTTGTCTCCATTTTGGAAAACTTATGGACAATCTTTGCAATGAATTACATTCATCTTACCTCTAAAGGAAAGATGACACTGAATGGGCTTCTCATTTACAGTAAAATGAACAAAGCAAGTGAGCAAAATGTAAGGATGTGTAAGGAATGGTCTGGAAAATAATAGAATGCCTTCATTAAATGTATGGTGTTGTCTCAGCTGGAACACACTGTTCAGCCCTATTCAAAAGGATAAAAGAAATAGACAAGAGATGAAAAAAGATTTGAAGCCTTAAAAAGAAAATCACGAGTAGAAAACAAGTGGTATTAAGTCTGCTGCTTAAATTAAAATTGTTTACTTTGGAGAGGACAAAGTGAATCAGGTACTCCTGTTTATTTTTTCATAATTGAGTGTGGTCTTGTTCTTAAACTAAAAGGCAGTGAATTGAAAGCTGATGGAAAAAGTGTTTTTATACAATGCTTATTTGGAACAAATGTGACATGGGCTTACTGAGCCTGAGGGCTTAGCGGATTCAGAAAACATGAAATGCAAGAACATCCTCTGAATTAGAATGGATAGAAATTTAAAAGGGATATAAAGCCCTGTAAAAAGTAGGAACTGAGCATGATTAGAAGGGAATTTCTATGATAGGGATGTTTGCTTTTCATATTTAGTACTAAAGATAAAGGAGATTTGACCTGGTCTGATCTACTGTGCAAACTGTTGTCTTCCTAAATAGCCCAAGCTTTGCATGGTTTCTCACCCCCCCAGAATTATATGGAGTGGTAACAGCCAGATTTAAGCCAGTTTTTTCTTTCCTCTTCTTCCTCACAGTGACCTCTAATGGTTAAGCCTCTGGCAAAGGCTAACTAAGAGCTGGAGTTAGATATAAATACAGATTAATAATAAATGGGGATAGAAGAAAGTAAAACGCTGGTGTGAAATTGACAGCAAGCAGCGTTCTGCAGTCTCTGCATTACATCTGCCTGCAGCTCTTCTCTAGCAGCTCCTTGGAAATAAATGGAAAACTGCTTATTGCCACTAATCAGGTTCTGTCTTAGGGTAACCAGATCTGGGCTCCCTCAGCTCCCTTAGGGACCAGCAAGACTTAAACAGAACCTGGGTGGGAGACAAGCGAGCTGGGACTATGTCTTCCTTCACCCTATGGCTTCTTTAGGAGAACTGGTAGCATTGCAGAGTAAGGGAGGCCATTTAGTTTAAGATGCTGCATGAAGCAACAGTTGTGCAGGTCTTTGATTTGGATGAAGCAACTTTCCAAAACAGCCCCCTTCAATTAATCAAAAAAGGAACATTACTCAGCATGCTGTAAGGTGGCCTAAGGCCTGATTGCAGCTTACCTGTATTTGTGTGTTTCACTTCTCAGGCTCCACAAGAAAGAAACAAAGTCTTTGTATGAGAAATCTTGTGAAGGTCAGTTCTTGCTCCAGGAAGGAGGAGAGAATGCCTAAGTCCTGTGCATCGGTGGGACTGAAGGTTATGACAATCAGGATTCAGGAGCGAATTAGAAAGAGATACTGTTGTGGTAGGAGGGAGAGAAGATAAAGGGAATGGTACTAAGGAAAAGTAGAGCCTGTGGGCAAGTGTTAGAAGGTTAGCAGATTGAGAGGGAAGTGTGGTTGAGGCTGTGGCTCCTGCTCCAGGCTCAGCTAAGTCTGCCTGGGCTCATTCATCCAGCTGTGAGCCACAAAATTCCTCCCAGGATATCTCCATCCACTCTTGAACTGACCTGTGTTGGTCTACAAGTGACTTCATGGTCAGTCTTGCTGTCCTATCTGCAAAATGAAGGAGGCTTCCGTGGAGGCATGGTTCTGATGTATCTGTTTATCAAATTGTAGTGTCTTCAGTACATCAGGAATTAAAGAGTTCACCCTTTTTTATTTTAGTCTAGATGTTTAACTTGAAGAAAACGAGGACCTGAGTTGTTCCAAGCTGTTTCTGTTGTCACAATATTTATTCTGATATCACCACCCTTAACTTTGTCCTGTCATAAACAAATCATTTAACTTCAGTTGTTAGTGTTAATGCACTGAAATCCTTTAGATAGCTGTCATTTGGTTATTCTAAAAGGTAAAAGCTAAGTTTCTGTGCTGTCTCCATCAATAGCCCTGAAAAGTGATTGCAGACCCATCTCACCATGATTGCAGTGTTTTAGCATTTGTGGTCTCAGATTAGAATAGATTGCTTTGTAAAACACCTGTGTGGCTTTTTAATATGTATTTTTACCCACTTTTCTTCTCGCATTTCTTCAGGGCCAAGTTAAGGATATTAGCATACTCTAGTTATGTTTAAATATAATCCTGAAATTTCATGGGTTTCCCATGCTTGGGTTTTGGATAATTGCACTATCCCCGTTTTGTGGTTTTTACATTTACATGACTGACACACACTGCAGCTCCCTTGAAATAGCTCCATATGATTTTTGTTTGGAGTGGTAGCTTCTGTTTTCCTAAATGTAATGCAGAGGCAGAATGGACTGATAATTATACATTGGACAAACCATGGGAATTGGCAGAAGTTGTTGCAGGCACCATTAGCCTGCTGTCTTGGTGTAGTGTGGGATTAGGTGCATCTTTCTCTTTATTTTAATCGGAGGTAATGGCTCCATACACAATGGCCACCAGTTTAGCACTGTACTTTGGTTATACCCATATTGTTGTGTGTAGAGCAAGGATATCTCACACCTGCTGTGGTGTATATCGAATGTCAGGATCCAGGAGGCAATGTGGAATGACTATACCAGTTATTCTTTTCATTGACTTTACCCTTACTCACTGCCCCATCCCTTCCATGCTTCTGCTTTACTTCTATCTTAAAATGCTTAAAGATCAGTTTTAAATTGTCACTTAAAAGAAAGCTGTATTGATCTTTCCCCCAAATATTCATTGTCCAGCCAAACCCTTTTTGGTTTTTGTATCACAGGCTTGAGTGTAGTGGTTATCTTACACCTGCATTGTTGGATTCTATGACACTACGTTATCTTAGCTATTTTAATACAAATAGGTCTCCAGTCCAGATTAGGCATCTTATTTGTTTAGATCTCAGCAGGTAACCACAATTAGGCATAGTTTTTCCTTTTTAGGACAAGGTGCTGTGTAATGGAGTTGTGTATGTTGATGATATTACATTTATTTTTAAACGAAGTGCTAGCTTCTTGTCAGAACCAGGAGTATGCGAGCAGCCGGAGTTAGTTGCATTGCTGTTTGCATCTCACCTGTTTTCAGCTGCCCAGAAAAGGTTCACCTCCAAGCTTGGGGCTGTGACATCAGACAACTTCTTTGTGTCACACGTTGCTCCTCCTTCTATGTGTTTCACCTTTCTTTTCTCTTTCTTTTCCCCATGCCCTCTATGATCTTTCTGTCTTGCCTTTGTCCACCCATACCCCCATTCTCTGTTCCTCCAGCTGCCTTTCTCCCGACTTCTTTCCCTCTTTCTCTCCCCACTTCCCATGTCCCACCTGTCTGACCCCTCTGTGTCACCGGGGGTCACAAAGACCCCTCTCTTTGTGCCCCCTGCTCCGCCCTCTGGTTCCCCCTTTCTTGCTGTTTTCCTCTCTGTTTCTCTCTGCTGTGCTTTGTCTCTCTTGCTGTACCACTTGATTTCTCTCTTTGTCTCTCTGTTTGCCTCTCTGCCTGTCTCTGTCTCTCTGTTTTCCTACATCTCTCCTTCTCCTTCTGTCTGTTTCTCTTGTGTCTGTCACAGGCACACATGTTTCACATCAAAGCACTCACACTCCATTCCTTTAAACTGGAGCTACTCAATCTCTCGGTTTTACTTCCCAGGCAGAAATGTATGCCCAGATGCTGTGTACCAGAGGGGTCAGCAAAGATGGCTCATGCAGGTACATGGGTTAGACTTCCCAGGCGCACACAGGTGAAATGTATAGCTAATAAACAATGAGCCTCTTCTCTTCCCAAGGGGCTCAGCAGAGCTTTCTGGTTTATTTATGACCAGTCTGATGAGTGAGGGGATAGTCAGAAGCATGAGTATATCCTAAATATGGGAAAATGCCCCAAATCTGCCCCTCTTGATTTCCATGCAGAAAAGTAGGAAATTGTATGTACAGTTGCCTTAAATTCTTGAGTATACATTTTTGTTCTTGTAGCAACAGGATTGCCTGCTCTGTGCAGCAATCTTTAGCGAAGGTCCCACTGGCTTTAAGCATGTGAAACCTATCCACTACTGAGGTTTTGGGTGCAACCTTAATACAAATTTTCATTATTGATAATATTTGCAGAGGCAGCTGCAATATGCTCCATTTATCACAAATGAGGTATGAACTGCTGTGTTGTAGCCTGCAGTCAATAGATTTTTCAGTGAGGTATAGTGAAGTCGGGGCTTGAATCCTCATTTCTCAGTTGATAGGCGACAGACTTTACTGATCAAAAAACTACTACTGCTTTTCAGGAAAAGGAGCTTAATCCTTCTATTTCTTTTGTTAGTCAGCTCTTCCCATTAGAAGTCATGTTCCTGTCTCACTTTCCTTACAAGGATGCTGTTTACTTTGATTTCTTTTGTAGGGTTGAGCAAGTCTGTGGCTTAGTGCACTAGTTTTCTTTGACAAAAAGCCATTATCATTATTGATGAACCTGTCACTGGCTGGCAAGTTACCAGAAACTGCTTAGAGGTAAAGCTTTCCTTAGGGTATGCTTCGCCGCAGCACTGTACGTTAGGTCCTCAGACAGACACAGCTTTTGGAAAAAATACCATGTAGGTGTCAGGTGGAAGAAGGGGAGAATAAAATCACTCCCAATTAATTTCAAATGTCCAGTCAATGGCAAAGCTCTCCTACCTAGTGAGGGCCTGACATGTAGCCAAAAGTATTGTTCTTAGTATTATCCACTTGCGCTACTGTGGGTTTATTCTAACATCTGATCAGTAAATGGGGAAAATATGTCTCTTTATGGTACATGAGAATCCAATGAAGAAGTTAAGAAGTTTTCATCACTAACCATGGGTATATGAGCAGTGTAAGGGCTTTCCAATTGTGCAGGCAAAGCTGCAATAAACCATGATTCTTAGGACCTGAGTCTAAACGGATCTGGAAATTAGATGTAGTTCCCTAACAGTGAGAGTGATGATGCCCGAAACAGTTAATGGAAAAAAGCAGATTTGTCATTGTTTGGGTTTTTTCAGGGTAGAATTAGTAGCTACCTGAAAGATGTGCTTTAGTACAGCTTTGAGGAAATGTCCCCCAGCCTGTTTGTAAGGAAGTTGGTTTAGATGATCAGAGCTATCTGTGGCAGCGAAGAGACTGTGAAATCTAGCTTTGGCAGTTCAGCTGCTTAGCCAACCCCTGCTGCAAATACTGTTAAGTGCAGAAATGCGTTTTCTTTTTCCTGCTTTGGCATTGTATCACTGAGATACAGCTTGTTGTGCCCCTTGGGCTCATCAAGGCACAGAAACGCTGGTTCCATACCTATTGAAATTGCACTGGGAAGTTCCTTCTCAGCATGCCACCATGGGCTTCTGTCAAAAAAATGTCGAATACAAGGCAAGCTCATAAATAAGACCACACACTTCTTCTTGACTAGATCAACTGAATGAAAGTCTGGGCTGTGTGGGCAATCCAACTTGAAGTTCAGTCATTTTTTTGACCGGGAGGAGCATGAAGTGAAACAGTGTGTGATTAACCCATGCACATCTATTTTCCCTTTGACCTGAAAGTTAACGTTTACAAAGTGGAAATATACTGCTGGCTTTGGGTTAAAGATTTATTAAAGTACAAGGAGGCCCAGTAGCTTTGAAGGCTAGGACTACGTTCTGAGTTTTTATCTTGCTGTCTGATGCCATCCTCTCTTACAGCTTGTTCTGCTGTGGCTTACGTGGGCTTGACGGGCTGTCCTACCCTTGATGAATAAAAGGTCAGATCACAAAATTCAGTGATAGTCCAAAATTAGCACCCTCTTTAGCTGTTGTACCAGAGTGGGGAAGGGCAGAACAGGGCAAGGTGACTAAATTTTGTCCTGACTCCTAGGAGTGGTTCTTCTAGCCTGAAGGCAGAAGCCTCACAGCAAGGTGAGCAGGTGGCTTCTCCAGCCTCTATTCATGCAGCATCTGTTTTTTGGCAACAAGGAGTGTGTGCACTCCGCTGAAGATAACTTTTTATGATCTTTCCTGCACAAATAAATGATAATAATTAACCTGTCTGGCATCTGCTGCTGAATGGTCCCAGAAAAATGACAAGGACATATTTCATAAGAGCCACTCTACAAAAAAGTACATGTTATTAAAAAGAGCCTTTTTTGCCGCAAAGCTGTTGGCAGTGATAAAAAAGTATAAAAATTATTGCTTTATTTTCTCATATTATGATAAAAGGTTCAAAAAAGAGATTAAATCCCCTGGTACTAAGTAGTACACTAGCAGATAAACAGACGGCTGCTCTAGAGAGCTCCTGGCCCATTTGGCAGTGCATAAAGGGTTAACAAACAGAAAAGGCATGCAATTTGGGGAAGCTGAGATCACAGAGACAGGAGTGAATGAATACATTAATAAATATGTACATCAATGAATGCATTTTAGCTGGACAAAGATAGGCAGGAGGAGAGATTGGTCCTTTTAGAAATGAGATACATCACTGTGAAAAGCAACAGTCCATTGCAATGGCACGTCCACAGCCGCATCAGAAAGGATCTGTCTCTCTTGGTTGCCTCTTACATATGCTGCGTGCGGGACAGAAGAGCTTTACTTTTGGGACTGGACAACCACTCGCTACAAGAAGTTATGGTAAGCCGTGATCCAGTGATTGTACTCATTGCAGCAGCACTGCGATGGACAAGCTATGGTCCATTCTGGGAAGCGCTGTGCTAAGCATTGAGTAGGAATTTATGAAGGTGTCAGCCCTGCTCTGGAAAGTGTATACCCTAATACACAAATATTAACGTAAAGGGATAGGGAAGAATATACAGCCTTGCCGCTGCCACATGGCATGAAATATACATTGCGTAGGAAAATGCTAACGGAGAGCATGGGGAAGCGAAGGGACTACTGTCCTGTGTCTCTCCCTTCCTTTTGTCCCAGGGACCCAGGTCATTCACCCACCCAGTGCCCCACTGCCTGAACTTGCAAGTGATTTTAGGAGGAAACAAAAGGACTTTTAATGCATGTGCTATGAATTTGAATTATTTGTCTATTGGATCAAATATAAGCTGCCTCATCTTCTATTTGAAAGGCTTTTTCCATTCTCCTCCTCATCTTTCATTCACCACTCAGATGTTGAACACTAGCTGTTAAATTTTTAAGCAAGCCCCTTGGTACTTTCTCTCATTCTGCCTGTCTGACTTAGATGAGCTCCTTGCACATCTCCATCATGATGCCTGTGAGAACAGTTCACGTCTCATAAGCTGCTGGTATGCAGGTACCATTGCATATACATCATGTGCTAGCAAATACAGTTGCATTGATGTCTTATGCTTTTTTATGTATCTCTTGGGTCTTATTACATATTTCAGCTGGAATCTCCTTGGAGTAAAGGCTGCGTAAAACCATGCACCGGACAGTTGTCATAAACCCAGAAAGACAGCTGAGAAGACACTGAATGCTTTTAATGCTCATTGTTCCACGCTTAATTCATTGTATTTATGAATCATGTTTATGTGATAACAAATCATTGTGTTTCTGAATCATATTTACGTGATAACGAAGACAGTTGCTTAAATATTGATGAAGTACATCTATACTTAATGTTTCAGAAGATCTTTATTTAAGAGCTGCTGCAACGAACTAAAGAGGTTGTTTAAGCTAAATGACAGAATCACTGAGGTTGGAAGTGACCTCTGGAGATCATCTAGTCCAACCCCCCTGCTCAAGCAAGGTCAGCTAGAGCCAGTTGCCCAGGTCTATATCCAGGTGGGTTTTGAATATCTTCACAGCTGGAGAATACACAACGTCTCTGGGCAACCTGTTCCAGTGTTTGACCACCACTTAATATTCACATTTAAGGGCAAAAAGGAAAGCCCACAGAACTACAAGCCAGTCAGCTGAGAAGAGATGCTCCATCCCTCCAAGAGATGCTCCATCACTTCAAGGCAAGTAATCCTGGAAACCATTTCCAGACACATAAAGGACATGAAGATGATTGTGAGTAGTCAGCATGGATTTATGATTTCCCTCATAAATGGGATGGGCTAGGTCAGAAACACCACAGAAGTGTTAAGAAATCTGTATTTTGTGTAATTTGGAGGTCAATCAAGTGTCAGTTCAACAGTATCTCATTAAATAATGTTTTTCCCTGTATGGAATGGAAAAGCAAGGTTAGGCAGCCTAATAAGCTTAAAACATTTACATGGCCATCAGATGAGTAAAGTGATAATACTTTGTCCTTTCTTAGGAAACAAGAACAAGCAGGAGGTAGGTCTACCCATAATTAAAAAGCAACACCTTTATTTTTGCCTGTCCCACAAGAAGAAAACAAGAGAACGGGGCCTGTAAAGAGGTGTGAGCAAGGTGAAATGTAGGTTCTCAAAGGGGAATGGAAGCTAAAATGTGATGTTATCTCTCCTGCTGTGTGGCTCAGCAGGGGGGGTCTTGGAAACCCCTGAAACTTTGCAAGTTAGGTTTGCAAAACTGTAGTCAGACGTGTAATTCTTCACTGTCAGAAAACAAGTGAGGTGAACTCTTTACTCTTAAATATTATCTGGTAGGAAGGGAGTCTCAAGGGTAGGTGGCAGGTGCTAGGTACTTTATTTCTTTGGCAATGATGAATCACTGGTAAGGGTGAACTAACATATTTGCAATCGCTGCCGTGAGCTGGAGAATTCCTCACTGTTGCTGTGTTTTTTTTATGGCAAAGCTGGAAGAGGCCAGGGTATGGACAGAGCCTTCCTGGGCAAATGGGAAGATGGCAAGCAGTAATGGAGACCTAAAGACTTATAACTTGGAGATTACTCAGTCTATATTCTTCTAGAGCCTAACACAAGGGAGTCCAGATCTACGGTTCAAGACTTTCAGGTACTGCTGTAATATAATGACGGAAGTTCCCAGTTGTACTCATCTTCAGCCCACCCACATTGTAACGGGGCTAAATTTTGTTCTGTTTTAGAGAAAACATTACCTAATGTTGTACAGCCAGGTTAGCTGAGTCTGTTCCTGGTGACTATGCGGTAAAACCATTAGCGTCATGAAACCAGAGGAGCCCAGCTCAGCCCCTGAACTGTCCCTGAGCTGGGAGAGTTGGAGGCAGTGGGTCAAGGTGGCTCTCAAGCAGGCAAAAAGTCCCAGTAGAGTTTAGAAAAGGATGGGACACTTGTTTTCTTAGGTCATCTCTCCACAGCACTCTTGCTTGTTGGTTGTGGGGCACTAGCTCCAGGCAGTGCCACGAGTAAATAAGTCTTGCTGCTTTCCGGACAAGTCTTCAACTGTAACACTCTTATCTCCATTTCCAAGTAATTCTCCCCCCCCACACCACATCTCCAGGGCTGTACCCGTGTTTGCTTTGTTGCTATTTGCTCAGTGTTTGTCACATGCGAAACGGTATGTAAAAATGATGACAGAACTGGCTCAAAACCGCTTAGTTGTGTAGATAAGGAAATCTCAAAATGTCTTAGTTGTGTAGATAAGGAAATGAAGAAACAAAGAAGCAGGTGAGGTGGTGTGGTCTCTCATGGCTGTGGTGCTCCTGCTCTAGGGAGACAAGTGATGTAGGGGAAGAGGAGACCCTGTGTCTGGTTTTGGGGCTCCCAACACAGGAAAGATCAACTGCAGCGGGTTCAGCAGTGGCCAATCCCGCTGGTTTGGGGCTGGAGCCCACATCCTGTAAGGGATGGGGCTTGTTCAGCCTGGAGAAGAGGTGGCTTTGAGGGAACCAGGCAGCAGCTTCCAATACCTATGGAAAGCTTACCAAGAAGATGGAGCCTGGCTTCTCACAGCGGTGTATGGTGGGAGGATGAGAGACAACTGCCATAAGCTGAAACAAGAGAAGTTCAAGCTGCATATAAGGAAAAGTTTTTTGACCATGAAGGCAATCAAGCAGTGGAACAAACTGCCCAGTGAGGCTGTGCAGTCTCCATCCTTGAAAGTCTTCAAGACGAGACCGGATAAAGTCCTGAGCAGCACAGTCTGATCTCAGAGCTGACTCCACTTGGAGCTGAAGGTTGCACTAGTGACCTTCTGAAGTCCTTTCTAACCTGAATTATCTTATGACCCTGTGATCCTAAGACCAGAGGGGACAGCCAAGGAAAACTAGCTCTCCCTCTCCTCTATCCATAACCACCAACTCTTTATACACCCCATCTTCTCCCTTGTAGCAGCCAGCCTATTTTGCCAGACCTTAAAAAGTGGCACCTCTCGGTGGCTCTAGTATCTTACTCAGGGTGATGTGAGGAGGTGCCAGTTTTTAGAGAAGACAAAATGATTAAGACCTGTCCCTCTTGCAGCCTGAGCTCTCGCTGGCTGCTGTGGGGACAACACGAGCTCCTAAAACTGCTTGTGGGGGGAAGGCTTCCAGGATGCTCTAGGAGAGAAGGAAGCGTTAACTCCAGGGTCACTTTTGAATTTCAGTGTGTGCCTCCTAGAGATTTCCTCCTGGCAGGACTTATAGTAAAGCAGGTTACAGCAAGGGAAAAAAACCATTGCTGCTTGCTTTGGTTTGTTTTTTGTTGGGTTGGTTTTTTTTTGAGGAGCAGGATTGATGAGAATTCAAAGTAAAAAAATCAAATAAAATAAATTGATTTTTTTTCTGCAACTTCTGGAAATGCAGAGCTACTTTCATTAGTATTCTGTAGCTAAATGCTTGCTGCCACTCCCTCCTCAGCAACAGCTTTCTTGAAAATATTAATATTTCAGAATTTATAAGTTTCCATCACTAGCTCTAATCACAGGAATACAAAATCCTCCCCTACTTTTGGCCCCAAAATGCTGTGTAATGTTGCTGCACGGTGTTCCACAAATATCACTACCTTCACCAAGACAGGGATGTGATCCTTTCTATCCCCAGTGTAACACAGCTCAGAAGCATAATGAACAAGTATTTGTTACACATTTAGAGGGTTGTATATGAAAATTGCTAGAGGTATAATTTATGAAAGAAGCTTATAAAACAGTTGCAGAAATGGCTTTTCTTTGTTCTTAAACACCTTGTTCTTTCCCCCCCTGCCATGTGTGGGAACTACGACACCTTTTTTAACATCTAAGGAGGAAAAGGAGCAGTGAGGGAACCCAGTCCCCCTCACCCCCTGTTTATTATCTTCAAATTGATTCTGGGGTTGGTTCTGCGGAGAAGGGCCGGCGTTTGGTTAAACACAGACTGGACTGAGCAAACAGATTGAAAACTCCCTTGGACTTTCTCACTTCCAGCACTGTCAGCCTGCCACCAGCCCGGCTCGGTCGACCGGCTAGCAGGCTTTGCTTGGCACACTGCTTCGGCCAGATACCTGCTTGGGGTTTGTGTGTGCTCCAAGAGGAGAAGGACCAGGAGGAGGATGACGGGCTTGCAGGTAAGGGGTTCGGGTGCCCACAACCCACCAGTGCTGGCTGCAGACACCCCTTCTCAACTGACACCAATTCTTTGGCATCTGGTTCATTTTAATGTCCCCCTCTTTTATATTTCAAGGTGTGTTTTTAAAGCTCTCTCTTCGGTTAAAGGATTTTGCTGCATTTCGTCTATAAAGAGGCTTTTCTCTCTCTCTTCTCCTCCTTTGGAAATCCTTCTTGGTCAGGCTGTCCCAGCACAGGACCTCTTCATTGCAGGATTTGTCCTTCCCCTGCCCTCCGCCCGCACCCCTCCTCCCGCCCTGCCTGCCAGGGGGGTGTTTCCCCCTCAGCCTATGAAATCTGGCTGGCAACATCTGCCCAGATGTTGCAACCCTGGCCACCATCTTCCCTGGCAGCCCCACGAGCAGCAGCTCCATTTCGGGGCAGTTTCCCAGTACCCCTCACAGGGCACACCAGCCCTGGAGCATCCCCAGCACTTTTGGAGCAGAGGGTTGGCGAGCATCGGGGAGACGGCAGCTCCTGCTGGGGATATTGGCCCTGCGGCACCGTGGCAGCACCGGGGCCAAGCTCCGGTTTGGGTGCTTCGGTTTTACCGTGCAAGGAGGCTGTGGAGCCCTGCGCAGAGGGGGAAAGACCTGCTCTGCTCATTGCCCCAGATGCTCATGTCATAGTTTCTGCGGGTTTGTGTTAGATGCTCTGGTGTTGAACTGGACTGAGCTGACAGAAAGTGCCGTGACTTTTGTCCAGAGATGAATGTTGTTTTCCTGTGTCCTGCAGCAGG